GTCCTTCTTTCCTGCCCACGTCCCTAAGCAGAACTAGGCTGCCAAGGCAATTGTTCCATGACCCCTGGACTTGGAATGTCTTTCCGCTCCCCGTCAACAGAGGTCCTAGGGTGGTCTGATGAGGTTGGTTCAGGATCAGAGGAGGAAGAAGCAAAACATTCTCTAAGGCCAAACTTCCACTCTCCATGGATCACCAGGAGGGGACAAGGGAATCCAGGCCTATTTCTCCTCCCTGCAAGCCTCTCCTGTGAGACAGCATCCTGCCTCTTGGGCTAGACCAAAGGGGATGTGGCTTTCTTCTAGCCCCTTTTGCCAGTGACGTGCTCTAAAGCCTTCATGTCTCTCTGTACACTGTCCTTCTGAGGTCCCAATCGTCCCTGAATTATCTTCAAGTTAGAGTGAAAAGTCACTTTAAAAATCCTCAAACTCCTTGTCTTTGAGGCAGATATCACTCATAGCTGACCCTTCACCAGATTTCCAAGGCTGTAAATGCCACAGGAAGAGATTGTCCATCTTTCTCCCATGGAGGGGCTATGAGATTTGAACTGCCAGAAAAGCTCAGCCTTTGGGTTTGTAGTGCAGTCTCCCATAGACTCTGCCGCCAGAGCTCCCTTGACTAGAACGGCTTACTTAATATTACCATGTGCTAAGTATGAGGGCTTGGAAAAAAAATCAGTATTATTATTTCCCCCCCACCAATCTTCATTTCCTCATCTGCCAATCAGGACAGTACTATATATCCTTACAGAATTGCTGTAACAGCCAATCGATTTAGTGCTTGAGAATGTTTTAAGAGATACAAGTTGTCCCTGTTGCCCATTCAAGTATGATTTCCTTAACTAGAAGAAAAGCTCTTAATCCCAGGGTCTGAGCCAAAACATCACCCCACAGAAGATAGTTAACGGGTTACCAGCTATAGTCACGGAAGAGAACATTAGTCTGGCCAGAGTAAACCAGATGACGGAGAAGAGAATGGGGCAGAGATGAAGGGCTGGGCAGGGAGGGAGAGCTTAGCATTGAGGAAACCAAAATGCAAATGCAAGAGACAGAAACAGGTGGGAGATAATCTGGAAAAGCAGAACTGTACACACATCCTTAAAAAAAATTTATATCCTTAGAGGTTCTATAGTCCAAGTTTTTCTTTTATGTGGAAGAAAATAAAGGTCAGCATGAGAAATCACCTATTCCGTTATAAGCAGATAGTTAAAGGCAGAGCCACGGTAAGAACTTGAGGAGAGTCCTGGTTTTATCTGATTCCTGCCTATAAACTGTGTAATCCTGGGCAAATGTGACTCAGAGCCACCATTTTCTCATTGAGAAATATGGATATAATGATGCCTCTGTCTCCTAGGGTACAGTGGGGCACATAGGAGGGTGCACATGCAAGTGTCTACACTTTCGTGATATGGGAAGGAGAGCTGGTAAACGACAGTGAATTTCTCCTCCTCCAGAACCCATCATTTCTTCTTCCCCTGCGTTTTTGAGTGGGGTCAGAAGTCACAGGGCCACTGCACTGGCAGTGGAAGATGGAGTCATTCTGACATGGCAACCTCTGTGTGTCACAGTAAAACCGTGCCCCGCGAAGTTTTCAGTGGTGATTTTTGGTTAGCAGCCGAGCTGTTAGATGTGTGTGCAACTGAGAACTGCACGTCAGCAGATAGGATTTGTCAGCGATAGAACTTGGGGTTTCTGAGATGGGGACATGTTCTTGGCAACTCAGCTGAGAACAGAATCACTGTTAGCCTCGAAGGAGAAGTGACAGTGGATGAGGAGGTAAAGAGTGAACAGGAAAAATGAGAACTCAGAAATTTAGATGCTGCTTGGCTCTGGTCTTCTAAGGACTGGGGAAGGAGTCCTGGACACAGAAGCCTGGGTCTGGTCCCCAGTGCAGTGACAATGACACTCTGAAGACTTGGCTAGTTTCTTTTCTGTCTGTGCCTTTATTTCCTCATAAGAAAAAAAAAAGGATGATGTTCCCCCAGGTCCTACCAGGGTTCTACTGCCCAGAGTTTAGTATCTGGGTAGGTGATTACTCTCTTTCTTTTCTTGGCCCAGGTGGACAGGGAAATACACTTCCTTTTCCCAGCTTCTACCTCTTGTGCCCCTTGGGGATTTTACATAACACAGAGGTGCTCTCAGAGTGCTGGGGCTTTCTAGGTTGCCTTTGTTTATAGTTCCTTTAAAACCAAGAGACAAACCACCCCTTAATTCCTGCACTGCTGGGAAGGTGAATCTGCCTTTTAAAAATCCAAAGGAAGCCATTAAACCAAGCTGGTAACTATTGTGACTCATAACAAGCTGCCCTCCGTAAAAAATGAGTCAGAACGACTTTCCAGGAAGTTTGGTTACTTTAATTAGCTACCTCTTTTTTCTTGCCCTTAAAAGCATACCGTAATTTATAAGTTTGGTTACTTTAATTAGCTATCTCTTTTTCTTGCCCTTAAAAGCCTACACCATCTAGTACTGATGCTCCGAGAGAGCCTGAAGGGAAAGATCTAGGGGTGGAGAAGTTTCAGACAGCACAACCCTTGCTGCCTCCTTAGAAGTCTAAGAGTAATGCTTTCCTGAATGGAGGAAGGAAGCACAAAGCCAGGCTTCTGAGTGTCTTACTGGGCCTAAGGGGAAGGACAGCCCAGCTACTTGTGGCCCCAAAGGGTCTAGCAGTGATGCTCACTCTGCATGTTAAAGAATTACAGGATCCTATGATGCATTTGGAGTCTGGGTGGGAAGAATAATTAATGCTAACCTAAAGGTTGGAAGTTCAAGTATGCCTGGAGGTGCCTCAGAAGACTGACCTGGCAATTCTCTTGTGAAAACTGTCACTCAAAACTCTATAAAGCGGAGTTTTACTCCGAAGCTCCTGGGGTTGGCATGAGTTGGAATTGATGGACAGCAATTGGCAATGATACCAATGGAAATGATAAACCCAGCTGCTGTGTGCCAAACACTGTGCCAAGATCTCTAGGCATCATCTCATGTGATTCTCAAAGGCCACTTTGATAAGGTAGGCATTCTCTATCCCTTTGAAGGAGAGACTAGGTTAGGGAGATTCAACTCTCAGGTCCTTTGGCTGTTAGCACAGAACTGAGATCATTACCCTAGAACTTTATGATTCTTAACACTCTTCAAACTTCATGTGTTCTTGCCCTTCATTTTATGAGGAATTGGGGTCTTAGGGAGATTATTGGCTTGTCTACAGATACCCATTGAATTGACAGTAACCTTAAGATGACAAATTTGCAAAGAAATTCCCAGCCTATATTAAGATTCTTTCTTATCAACCTACTCTACTCATATTCTCACAGTCCCAGATAGGAGGTGAGAATTTGCTTATATTGTCTAAAGCACATTAAATCCCCTCACCCTTACTCAGGATCTGGACTCTCTCCCTCTCTCAGCCACCTTTCGGCATTCTATGTAGCTTATTCTTCTTCTCATCACTGTCACCTTGAATGGGTCACTGAGATTTAAATCAGAGCCAAAGCCCCAGTTCCAGTGTTGAGTTTCCTCTCCAGCTGATTAATCAATTGAAGAATGGGTCCAACAGGCCTATACTATTCTTTGTATTTCTACACACAAAGCAAACGATTTGATGCTGCTTCAACACTAAATTGTGGAGAAGAGGTTTTTGGTAAAAGCATCTCACTGGTGGCCCCCAGGCCCCAATTATTTGTCCTAATCCCAAATCTTTTTGCTTCCAGAAGGGAATAGGAGTGCTCTCTTGAGAGACTTGGAAAAACAGTTTTGCTAGCTCTGGGGGCCATTGATTTCTTCTACTTCTAATTTTTATGTCTCTAGTGATCCAGATGAAAGACTAATTGAGGTCTTGTTGGAATGCTATTAAAGTTATTTGGTAGTGCTACAATTTATACTCATCTTTCTTTAAGTTCTTTTTAATTATATAGAGCTTTCAAAGGAAGCCTTCGACTAAGGAGTTACAAATAGAGGCTAAGAAACTTTCTTCCCCCAATGCTTGATTGTTCATTTCTCCTCTTCACACAGCAAAGTCATCACCAGGCATCAAGCCTTCCCTTCCCGCCCCCACACACACGTGAGTTAGCAGAGAAACATGAACTTCTTTGGTTTTCTCTTGAGTAGAACTGTTCCCTCCACTAAACGGTCTGCCTTGATCAGTCAGTGAAAAACAACAACAATCCAGCTGTCATTTCATCGATTCATAGAGACCCACAAGTGTGTCAGATTAGAACTGTGCTCCGTAGAGTTGCCAAGGGATGATTTTCCAGAATTGATTGCCATGTATTTCTTCCACTGTGCCTCTGGGTAGTTTCAAACTGCCGACTTTCTCATTAGCAACAACAAACAACAATTCATTCCATAGAGTTGGAACCATGGGGAGGAAACGGCTATCTTTTTCCTTGCAGAGCACATGGTGGATTCAAAATTCCTGCCTTAGGGATGGCAGGAACTCTTTACCTACAAGGGCACCAAGAGCTCCCGACCCATTAGCAGGACATACATTAATGGTTTCTTTGCGCCATTCATTCTCTGTCAGTTACAGCTAGAACTCAGTCTGATTCTAGAAATCCTTGACATATCAAGAAATAAATCTCCTTAATTTTTTTTTTTGTTTTGTTTGTATTTAAGAAGCTTTTCCAAAGGAGCTCTGGTGGCCTAGTGGCAAGAAGCTGCACCGTAATACCAGAGGTGTGCGGTTCAAATCCACCAGATGTTCTTCTGGAGAAGGAGGGACAATCTCCTCCTGTACCAGTCAGATCTGATTTGACAACACATACACAAAAAATAATAAAACAAAACTTTTTAAAAAAGAGTATAATTTTTTTTTAAAGCAGCTTTTCCACTGTGGACCAATAAACACTACTCAAAGGCTACGGGACCATTACTTATATCTCTCAGGAATTTCCTCATCTCCTGAGACCCAGCTTTTCAGCTTGATAGGCTGGAAGATCAAAGCAGAAGAAGCTACATCTATAGCACCCACCTCTGCCTTCCTGCTTCCCGGAGGAGGAGAAGCCCCTTACCTGTTTCCACCTGACCAAGGGCGTTCCGAGCATCGGTAGAATCAGCCACATCCCCACTCATCTTGATATCTGCAGGGAAATCACAACTGATTTTAATAACAGGTCACAATTTTTCTTGCTATGACATATGTGGCTTTAACAAAACAGCAAAGATGAATGTGTAATTACAACAACCATCAGACTTTCAAATTCCTGATTCCCGAACATACCACCATTAGAATATTCATAAGCTTGGGGGCCAGTCCCCTCCTCTCTGCTCGCCTCCTTTCCCTCATCATCCTTTCCCTCCTATCTCAAGGGCCACCGCTGGGTCACTCACCTTTTGTAGCACTCATTGCCACTTCTATCACCAGGACTCAGTTGGTAACAATTTAACAAGGGCAAGGGTAGAGAGGAGGAGGGCAGGGAGCTCTTTCCAGTCCCATCCCCAATTTCCTTTGGGAGTTGGTGGATTTATGTTCTTTTTTTAAAGTAGCATAAGAAATGCTACTGGCTCATCTTTCCTCTCCAAACCCTGCCTCTGTTCACTGTCTGATTCTCAGAGGTCAGCCCTCTGCCTGGTGATCAAGCCCTAGCTCTTGTCTTGCTGTCTGTCCGTCTGTGGAGATTTTGTCCTTGGGAATCCTTACCTTCTCTCCTTTTCCACCAACTTCCTCAGTGAGAAAGTATGGCAGGCTTAGCCCCCACCTAACCTGACTTCTGGGGACAGAGAATACCGACACGAGGCCCCAGGCTCAGCTTCAGAGCTGCTGGTCAGGCCTTTTCCACCCAGCTTCATTTCACTAAATTAAACATTTACCAATAACAGGCAGCTGCCACCACCTATGAGGCCCCTAAGTCTCCTCCGCGGGTCAGAAAGACAGAAAGAGGCAACTTTGAATTAACTCACTCTCTCAAGGGCTCCTCTCCTTATTAAACCACCCCAATACTGACTCTGTTAAAGACAGAGGAATATTTTATTCAAATCGTGGTGACCCCCCCCCTTCCCACCCCCACCCTCTTTTCAGGGGCAGCATTTTAACTCTTTCAAACCAGATAAAGTCTTGGTGAGCTGATTTGCATACCCAACCCCCCCCAGCCAATCCAAGTTAAGCAGGCAGTCCTATTTTGCATCAGGTAATCAGGCAGTTGGCAGTCGGGACGCCCGAGGTCTGGAGATGATCAGGATGAGGGAAAAGGGTGGACCTCCGCCCTTAGGAAAAGCAGGGAGAAAACCTACTTTTTTTCCCCCCAGGGCAATGATATGCCTGCCTTTGGCAGGGATTTAAATTACAGCCCCAGCGTGTAGTGACTGCAATGAGGAGGGGTGACTGCGTGTGTTACAATGAGGGAGGCATTTTGTGAGTAACCCAGGTCCTTCTTGCTGCAGTTTTAAGCTTTCCCTATAGTCTTCTCCAAATGAATGTGCCCAGTAACTACATGGACCATCTGACCCCTCAGCAAGAGTCTCTTGACGCTGTTCACCTTCTACTCCCACCCGTGAGGCACTACTGCTGAGAGCTTTATTATTGTTGTTGTGGAGCTGAAAAGGACTCACTGCTGACCCCCCAGTGGGTTTTTAAATCACACCTGTGAGGCAGTACCCTGGGAACTGCTGTTGTCCCTTGAAAAGGACTCAAAGCTGACCCTCTTGTGGGTTTTTAAATAGCACAGGAGGAGATTGCCCACTTTCTCCGCGGAGGTGCCGGTGGGTTTGAACTGTGTGTCTTTTTGGGTTGGCAGCACAACTCTTCACCACTAAGCCAGTAGAGCTCTATACCCTAGGAGCCCTGAATTACCTAAGCAGACCTGCTTGCCTCACGCCTCGCCCAAAAGGATTCTCTAGCAGTGTCTTAGTCCCAGCCTGCCTGGGAGCTCCAGGGAGATGCAGAGTCCTCCTCTCCTCGTGGTTTTAACCGGTGTCAGCAGTGCCAGAATGAGAGCGTGGACTTGGGGAGTGAATAGACCATTCATTCACTAGGTAGCTGTGGAAGCCTGGCCACACATCTGAGGCTCAGTTTTCTCCAGTAAGAAATGGGGAGAATGACACTTAACTCCCAGAGTGATTGTGAAAATTAAATGAAATAAACAATTAAAATTCCCTGGCATAAAATAAGTGGGTAATTAACAAACTAACTAAACAGACACTGGCTTGGATGTGAGCCCTCCTTCCTCTTGCCCCTTCTCTTTACCTTTCCCCCTTAAGGTAAACGGCTTCCAGTTTCTGTCTCGGTAGTGACCTGTACTTCACCTGCAAAGACTTTAAAAACAAACCAGTTGCTATGGAGTTGATTCCGATTTATGGCAATCACCCGGTATCAGAATAGGATTGTGCACCATAGGTTTTCAGTGGCGGATTCCTTGGAAATAGATTACTAGGCCTTTCTTCTGAGAAGCCTCTCTCTGGGTGGACCTGGACCAGCAACCTATTGATTAATAGCTAAATGCTATTAATTTTTCACCACCCAGGAAGTCCGTGTTGTTGTTGTTAGATGCCATCAGGTCAACTATAATTCCGACTCATAGCTGTGGACAACAGATAGGAACCCTCCCATTCTCCAAACTTCAGGAAAGGAGTTCACAGGAACAGGATGGGCCTTGAAGGCAGGGAAGCCAAGAAGATGCAGCCTCCGCAGCAACTTATTTCAACCAACCACCTGACATTTAAGAAATACCTTTTTCTCGAAAACTATAATTATGTGCTTGTAACCCAAAGTTAATGGATCCAAACCCACCAGATGCTCCATGGGAGAAAGACGGGCCTCCCATGTGATTTACTGCCTCAGAAAACCCACTGGAGGGTCAGCGATGAGTCGGTTCTGACTCTACAGCACAAAACCACCACCACCACCACCTCCAGTCACTTCAACATCCACTTCCTATATCACCTTGTGTTAACAGGGCAACCCTCTACAGGCTTTGTTACCGGAGCTTCTTGTGTATCACTCAGAAACTACTTTTTCATTCCTTAAATGAGTGTATTCTTTGCACTTAATCTCTGCAAAGAACTACTAAAGGAGTGAGAGGTCTCACACTCATCCCATGACATCTCTTCAGTGCTGTACCTGTGACAGGAGCAGCGTCAGACACAGATCTGAGCCTGAATGGAGCAGCAGGCTCTTTAAATCCTCTTCTTAAGCCGCAGAGGATGCTAAGACACCAACAAGAACCTGTTCCTGTTGGGTAGGAGGCTCAGGCTCATGGGTGGGACGAGCTCTTGGGTCTCGGTCTAAAAATGGGCCAACACCGAAACTCCCTGAGACGCTATAACCCTTCACCTGTTGGACAACACTTGCCAGGGGTGAGTGAGAGAGGTGCAGGGTGGGGCCCGGCTTCTGACTGGGTTCTTATCTCAGCTCTGACTGAGTGGGCTCTGTGCCATCACTCCCTTCCCTGGGAAGCTCAGTGTCTCCGTGGAAGAGGACAGATACTAGACTCTGACCTTCCTTGGTCTCACCCAGTGCCTTTGTGCCCTGAGGCAGTTGTCCAGCGTTGTTTCCTGACCGTGCCCTCCCTGGACATAGCACAGGAGCAGCCCCTCAGACACCTGTGGGGCAGGATGCATGGTTGAGCTCACCAAGGGAAAACTCAAGGGAGGCATAGTGCCCTGAATTCTCTGGGTCCAAGCTGTGTCCAGAAAGCAAAGCATCTGTCCCTCTCTCATCTAGTTTCTGATCTTCATTTAAGAGGGGGTTGGAACTGCCTCTCCTTCACATACTGGCTGTTGGGGTCACTTCTATTAAACAGTCTTTACTTGTCCAGCTTCTGATATGGCCTCAATTCTTCCCCAGGGGAAACATCTCTGGTCTCTCCAAGAGTCATCTACTCCTCCTCCCCCAAGTAGAATTGCTGAGCTTTAACTGTGGGACTTGACCCTTTCCCCAACCCTGGCACTGGGACCAGAGCAGAGAACAGCTCACAGTGAGGGGACGTGTAGGATAAAGGCACCCTAGGGTCATCCAGGTGTTCCCAGGTGGCCCCACCTGCTTTCCTCTGACTCTTCTCTCCCTCCCTTGTCTGGGTCCCTCTATCTGTCTGACTTTTGTCTACTCCTCCGTCTTGCATCGGCCCAGGTTTGGGAGCCTCTCCTTGACTGGGGTGGGTGGGGGGGCTGTGTCTGGTAACTTCATGCCTGCTCAGGCCCCTATACTCCCACACAAGGGATGCTCTTTAAAGCACAAAATACTGTGGCTGCAGGTGCCCTGAATCATGGATTGCACCTAGGTTACCAGAGCCAACACCACAGACTGACTCAAGGGCTGTGGTGCTGGTGAAACTGTCTGAATGGAAAACCTGGGGGCAAGCCCACACCCTAGACTGTGTGTGTCTCTCCTTCCTCCCTACTTCAGCCTTCCAGCAAGTCAATGGAGGAGGAAACTCCAAGGGCCCAGGACTGGGAGCATGCAGAGAAGTACTATTTATTAAGCATAAGCAGAATACAGGGTACCACCACCACCTGTTACTGTCAAGAGGTTCCAACCCATAGCAGCACCATAAGATTGAATAGAGGTGCCTGATGGGGTTTCCAAGGCTGTAGTCTTTATGGACACAGACTGCCATCTCCTTCTGCCATGGAGCAGCTATAGGGTTCAAACCCCTGACCTTTAGATTAGCAGCCAAGCACTTAAATACAGCATCACTGGTGTAGGATTACTCTGAGGGAAAGATAGGATTCAAAAGAGACCATGTTCCCGTAAAAAGGATCCTTGACTTAGTCTCTAGAGAGGGGTCCGTATTAAGATATTCCACAGAGAGATCTTCCTTCACAAACACCAGAGCATCACATCAGGGTGCCTCTTGACAGAGCCGACAAAGGAGGGCCTAAACGGAAGGCCCACAGAGCAAAGAGAATCCTCAAATGGTATTCCAGTCAGAGAGATGCCACAGAAAGCCCCAGAGACCTGCTGACAGGGAAGTGGATATCACATAGGGGCCAGAGCTATAAATTCTCACAGGAAGGCCCAGCTGGCCTTCCAAGATCCCTGAAGGGGGAGACAGGCTAAGGAAGTGGGCTCAAGAGGGGAGGCAAATAATCTAGAGAGAAATCTGGTACTTTGCCCCAAGGCAGATGGAGACTTCACTCCAGAGGT